AGACATTCACAGTGGGAAAAGCTTGGAAGCTACATAAAGATCCTACCTGTCTTGACTCAGTATTCTTTCCTATTTGTTTAAAAACCAAGCAGGTTAGCTCAGGATGATGGGAGCTAAGAAGTGGGCCTTTTCAGTTTGCAGTGCCTGCCCTATGGAATGTCCTACCTCCTGAAGTTTGATTCAGCAGCTACAATATACCACAGATGGGCAAACAGGGCCCCTTTAAGATCTCTGGACTTTTAACCCCAAGGAATTCCTGAACCAGCCTTGGAATTCTGGGAGCTGAAGTCCACAGGTTCGTGAAAGGGGCCGTAGGTACCCACCCCTGAGCTACACTCACTTGGATTTCAGTATTAACAGATTGTGAGGAAGGGTCCATCTGGAACAACTATCAACATCCACAGAACGCCTTTCAAGAGATGTCTTTGTCCTGCCTTCCAATTCTAAATAAAAGAAATTTGAAGGTAGAATAAACAGATCTTGCCCAGAATCCAGCAACATTGTGTTCTGTCACACTACTATGAGGTCCTCAGGTGTACAACCGATCGTGGCACAAAGGACAGGTATGCATATGTGTTATTGTCTGCATGTCACCACAGTCTCAAAGAGCAGAAGCCACCGGATGTCCCTATTGGTTCAGAATGTCTCTGGATCTTGGTGTACCCATGCACAGTCCATTCAATGAATTCCATACTTCACAGCTTTCGTCAGAGCCAGGTGTGAGCTTCTCCGTCTGGTCTCATCCAGAATTGGTTCTCATAGCTTTCCATAGATCCTATCTGCTTTCGAACTCTTCAAAGCCTTCCGATGACGACAAAGGAAGCTTTTCCTGCAGGGGTGGTTGATGTCTGAAGAGAAGACCCCTATCTCCTCCTACATCCTCCTCCTCCACCTTTTTAATTGTAATCTTTACTGTGATTAGAAGCAGATTTTCTTTGTGGTCTTACTAGCTTGGCCACTCGGTCTCCTCTGCAAAGGAGATGGGGCAGCCAACAAATCCAATCAAATCAGTCCTACCAATGCAGCAGGGGCATTAGGTTGGGCAAATTTATGTGGCTTGCATCCACATCAAGCATTCCAATGTGAGGCACCCATAGAGGGGAAAAGCAGGTCTGGTGGAGGCCATAGATGACAGATCCAAGAGAGGACATTCCCCCACATCGCATTCCAGCCAGGGAGGAAGAGTTCATTTCAGCACTTTCTGATACATTAAAGCATCGTCCGCAAGAACTTCAGAGTTATTTTCCCCCTGCTGTGCTTTGTTTGCCAAATAATGTTTGCCTGTGCAAATATTATTGCATCAATTCAAGATGGTACTGACGCAAGGATCTCTATGGTTACCTTCCCTACTTGCTGTTTTGGCATTTCACAAGACCTATTTCCCCTCCCAAATGTTGCTATTTTTCAAGGACAGAAAGCAATAGACTGATGCTCACGCAGGATGGGGAGCGCTGAAGTGTATTAGTTTGCCTCCAGGCTCTTCAGGATCTTCAGAAGGTTCTGCGGTGAGGCATATTCACTAAATGTAAGCCTGTCAGTGTGTGCTCCATTCAAAATCCAAGAAAGAAATACTCAGACTCCATAGGTTAGAGCAAAGTTTTCCTTTTACTGGAAATCAAAGTGGAAGCTACAGGTTGAATTCTGAATCTAAAGAATTTGGCGCGCAGATCACATATACAAAGGAATGGAATTGTTCCCACCCCCCAAAGTCCAAATGACTCTTCCAATTAAAAGTTCTGAATATGATCATGTGGGCATCTTCAGGTGGTGATGAGGCCTCTGTCCGTTGACCTTGACATATTTTGATAAAACTTCGCAGCTGCGCAAGGGATAGAAAAACTAGGCAAGGAAATAGAAACTTAAGTAGAGGAATTTATACTCCCCCTTCCCATTTACAGCATAAGAATGTAACCCCCCCCCCCTCCCCCCCCCCCCCCCCCCCCCCCCCCCCCCCCCCCCCGTTGCTAATGACAGCCGAAAGATGGAGCAGTAAGAAAGATGCAAAGTAAGAAAAATGCAAAGCAGTACATAAGATGTAGAAGGGATCATCTTGAAGGCTGACAAAGCCTTTGCATTTGCTCACTCCGGTTTTTCCTTGAGAACGTAAGGACGTAAACAGTGCCCTCCATGATCAGCCCAAGTAGTCCAAGAGTCTGTTCTCCCAGTGGCCAACCAACTGCACAAGGAAGTCCACCAATCACCCAGTAGATGGTCTCCAGAGGTTGCACCAGCCCAATAGCTGTTGGTCTCCATGGCTTTATTTGCATCTAGTAAAGAAATGTAAAGGTTTCCCTCTCCAGGCGTGTCCCATACTAGTGGGAGAAGTATTCTCTATTTCTAATACATTCCTGGGCTCATGTAGTCAACTCATGAAGTCGAGGTACATGACACTGTTATCTTCCCACCCAAGTGGTACCTATTTATCTACTCACATTTGCATGCTTTTGAACTGTTGGCGGGCAGGAACTAGAGTAAGTTATGGGAGCTCACCCTGTCAGGAGGCACTTCGGTCTCCAACACTGGCTGTCACCTTTCTGGTTGACAAGCTCAGCATCTTTAACCACTGAGCCACCCTGCCCCCTTTGCACCTACTGTAGTAACAGACAATCTGTACACTTTTTTACATCTTGCATTTTAAATTTTTGTCATATAGGGTGCCTTGTTTTAATTGTGATGCTTCTGATACAAACAAGCAAACAATCTACTATTTACATGTTTGAAGCTTGCTCCAACAGTCCCTTTGAGGCTGGAAGCTAGCTCGGTTTGAACACAAGCCACGATTTCCTTCTCCATTCCCATTTTCTCTTAATTTTAAAATACTGGCTTATTTTTTTGTTGCCTTGATATATCTAAAGGGTTTTGAAGCAGTGCTGGAGGCAAGCTGGCTTCCAACCAAAGAAATCACAAGACATCCGAAAACATAATCCACTAGATCAATGCGATAATTTCCCTAAAGAATAAAATTCTAACTATGTGCCTCCTCGCTTTGTTATTTCAGGAAACCTTTCGACCCTTTTCAACTTTATTTTTTTAAATTTTTTTTACATTTGGGCAATTAGTCTGCATTGCAAATGATGTTTCCCTCCCAAGAAAGTTTGCTTTATGAATTTAATCGAACTCCTCCAAGCAGCTTCAAAGGATGGTAACGTCTAAAAGGAGGAGAGAATGATTTTGTTTTTCAGAGGGTGATAATTGTGGATCAGACCTAAAACAGAAAGATAGACAGATACACGTAGATTGTTCTGCATCACTTTATTCTATTATTCATTGCTTGACAACAGGAAAGTGGAGTAACCAACTGATGATTAAGGAGATAAAAATAATTCCATTTGTAAAGGGCCAAGATCTAAGTTTAATTACTCATATTGATTAGATAAATATTTGTGGGAGAAGAAAATCACCAGGGTTAAATGCCTATATGGAAATGAGATTCAGTTGTCAGTACTATAAGTACTGATTGGGGTGTGTGTGTGTGTGTGTGTGTGTGTGTGTGTGTGAGAGAGAGAGAGAGAGAGAGAGAGAGAGAGAGAGAGAGAGAGAGAGAGAATTCTAGACATTTCCTGTTCTCATGGAAAATTGGAATTACAAATAACTCAACAGCACCTTAACATGAAGCAAATTTCTATGACAGGGGTGGGCAAACTTTTTGGCTCGGGGGCCTCATTGACTTTTAAAATTTGACAGACGGGGCCGAGTCAGAACAAGATACGATACATATAAAAAGCTGCATTTGTTAACAGTACATATCAAACATAAACAGAAAAAAGATCCTTTTTTCTTATAAGTCCTGTAAGATTTTATCCCATTATCCCAAACTCTTCTTGCTGGGGATCATGGGCACTGTAGTTGAGATGCTTTAAAAAGGTTCGGGGTGGTGGTGTAAACCCCGCGCGCTTTCACGGTTAGCATGGTCAAGCAGATGCTCTCGCAAAACTGTTTGTGGCTGGAAACGGAGCCCAGTCCACGAAGGGTGGGAATTGTGGAAATCCGAGCGCAATTCTCTCCAACGGTCCGGGATTGACAGCGAAAGATTCTTTACGGAAGGGACAAAACGAACGTGCGGAGAACGGAGGTCGTAGCGGCATATGACATCATCGGAGCTGTCACTACACACACACAAACCTGTACACAAGAAATAACTAGGGTACCTTGGGGAGCTGGGCACCCCCAGATCTCCTCCCGAGCAGCCCTGCAAACATGCTCCCCAGCCAGCCACGGCAAGACCATTCCCCACCCCCCAACCCCCCACTCCCTTTGGCGTAAATAAAGGCAAGAGGTCGGTCGTCAGCCCTGGAGAACCGAGTAACACACCTCCCCTTGCAAAAAGGGGGAGACCCAAAACACACACGCGAGCCCCGGACGTCAGATACCACCGCACCGGTCCTGAATACGGGAGAAATCCGCCCGGCAAGTGCTGAAGCTGCCGCCCGCCGCCCCGGGCTCGATGCTCTCCAGGGATGGAGAGGCGGCACGCATCCGCGCCCGGACGCCCCAAACTCTCCCTTTGCCAGCATGGAAGGCAGCCAGCCAGCAAGGCAGGCAGACCCTGCGAGGCTCCCGAGCATGCCGCCACGTCCATCCATCAGTCCGTCCCCGCCCGTAGTCACCCGCACCTGCCCGCTGCTCCACGGTTGCCAGCGGGGTTCCCCCGTCGCCTTGGGCGCGCACCGGCTCCTCGAAGGGCAGCTGGCGAGTCTCTCTCCCTTCGGCCGGCAGGTTGACTGTCCTCCGTTCCCCTCTGCTGTTGGCCGCCCCGCTCAGCCGCCAAGCCGTCGTGCAGCCCGGATCTGTTGTTTCCCGGCTCCCGCTTGGGTGCTCCAACCGGGCGCCCCAATCTTCGGCGGGCCAGATTAAAAAGACCAATGGGCCGGATGTGGCCCGCGGGCCGTAGTTTGCCCACCCCTGTTCTATGAGATGACTATTCAGGCCTATTTACTCTGTTTTACTACAAAGCAAACTTAATTAACTAACTGCATGAAATAACCAAGGATGTCATATTATCATTTTAAACTTGGATTGATTTATTCTATGCCTTGGAGAACCATAGGTGCAGTTTCTGGTTTTGGAATGTTAGAATACTGAAATCAAAAGCTTTAGAATGTGATCTTACAGAATGCAAAATATTATAATGTCAGTGACACTCTTGAGTATAGCAAAATAAAAATATAATAATTACAGCACCGGCATTCTGAAACAGAGCAACAGCAACAAAAGTCTGCTCATTTTCTGAAAGAAATCCCCACTTGATTTGGAAATTGCAAAACATGGGAGATTGGCAGGTGCACTTGAGAAGTGTTTCGTGATAGTTGATGGTTTCACAGGATTGTGCCATACGGCTGGCTTAACTGTCAGACCCCTGGATTTCCATTTGTTCTTCATCTCCATTTCATTTTGTCTTTGCCATCAAGAAGATGGCAGCAATAAAGAGCTCCCATGTTTACAAGATGGGAATTGGTTAGGCTGCAGTCTGAATCTTAACACTTTGCACTTGTCAGCCTTCAAGATTTCTTTCCTTTGCTTTGCATCTTTCGGCTGTCATAAGTAATGGAGGGGAGGGGTGGAATAGTTATGGGAAGCGAGCTGGAGGTTTCAGAGAATAAACTGTATAAGTTGTGGGGGGGAAGTTTCTTGTTTATGCTTCTCTCTTATGCTATGCGCAAGCGCACCTCTTTATCAAAATATGTCAAGGTGAATGGACAGATGCCACGTCACCACCTGAAGATGCCCACATGACGTTACATGCAACTTTTAATTGGATGGACAGTTTGAATTATTGTGGGTGGGAACGTTACCATCACTTTGTATATGTGATTTACGCGCTCATTTTCTCAGATTCAGAATTCCTTTGATGCTACCACTTGATTTCCAGTAAAATATATATTTTCTCTAATTAATGGAGTCTAAGTATTTCTTTCTTGGATTTTGAATGGAGCACCAGCTGACAGCACTGCTGTTCCATAGTTGCTCTGCCTGCTTTTCTGGAACTGATGTAATACTTCACTTGTGTCTTAGAAGCTGCTTATCTCTAGAACAGAGGTCACTAACCTTTCGGACCTCAGGGGTCACTAAAATCATAATTTTAACTCCCGCGGACCACTAACATGATCTGCCTAATGACGGCTGGGTGGGCGTGGTTAGGTGGTCATATGACTGGGTGGGCGTGGCCAACTTAATTTCAGTCATGTCATGGGGCGCCTCGCCGGCTTCTACTCGGTCCTCCCCTCCCAGCAACTCCTCGCCTGCCTGCCCGAGCTCCTTAGGGCCTCAACAGGAAGCAGTTGTTGGAGCTAAGCAGCCACCAGGAGAAAGAGTTGGCAAAATAGCCGGCTCAGTTCAAATGGATCTGACCAAGAAGGAGGCTTAGCAGAAGCACCTCACTGAGGACCACGAACGTAGGCTTTCCAAGCAGAGGGAAGACCTGCGGGAGTCCAAGGCCAGGTACTGGTGCCTGGAGGCTCAGCGGACTGAGATGGTCAGCCAGATCCAGACCATGATGCAGTCCCCACAGGAACAAGGCCCTCCGGCTCTTCGCCACCAGCGGCACTTCCCTCCAGCCTTCGCCCAAAGCCCCACATCAGGAGGCTGAAGCAGACCCCAAGTCGGAATTTCTGGTCCCCTCTGACCTGCACAAAAGTGGGAGACTCTCTGCAGCAACACAAACGTTCACTGCATGTGTGATGACCCGGGGTGTGGCACAAAGGCAACACAGTCAGATAAGCAATAAGAGTCCATTTATTATTTCCAACTTTGCCCTCAATGTCCAGGTTACCTTCTGGCTGAAGAAAAACTCTCCCAGGAACAGCCTTTGACTGGAGAAAATTAAGTCCAAAACATAGTCAACACAAACTGTAACTTAAAGTCCAATCAAGCCAAACTGAGGTAATTAGTTTGGCAGGGCAGGAGCAAGAATTTCAGACTTGAAGGCACCGCAAAACTCACATGGTTGGGAAGATGCCAGGAACACAGATAAGCCATGACAACACAGGATAAAGTCACGTTTGCTCCCAGCAGCCTGCCACAAGCAGCCTGCCTTTCTTATCAACTGTCTTCCCAGCTGTGGCTAATGAAGGGACTCAGGGCCCTTTTCTCCCCCGTAAGCCATGCAACCCATGTTGTTCTCTTCTCCATTCCTCCCTGCGTGCCCTAGGATGAAAAGTGGGGTGGGTCTAGTTCTTCCTCTGAACTCCCTCTCCCTTGTTCTATCTCTTACCTGCTCTGCCCAGCTGGACTTTGCTCTTCCCCAGCCACACTCCCATTCCCTGTCAACTGTCTGGCTTACTCCTCAGATTCAGACTCTGACAGGGGCATGACAGCATGTATCTGGCCCACAGGGCATAGTTTGAGGACCCTTGATTTAGTGCAATATAAAAAAATTCAAAATTCAATTTTTCTACGGACCACGAAAAATTTTCGTGGACTACCAGTTGGTGACCGCTGCTTGTGAGGTTGGCTGTTGAAATGTCTAGGCCCCCTAGTTTTCTCAACTACCTTATAGGTTGGTAAATAAATGCATATATTAGGAAATGCCTAAAACCTCCTTTCACCAATTTTGAATTTCTTACCATTTGGAGACATTGGTCAGCATCATCAAGATTTGGTAATCAGTTATGCCCTTACAGTCAAAGTTCAATCACTTGAAATAGCATCTACAGACCAAATGTCCAGATAGTGCAAAATTAGAAGGCATATTCATCATAAAGTTGGACATTCTGTATATAACTGAAGATGAGATAGTTTAAAAGTCTTACAGCAAGCAAATCCCAATTAAATTTTGTGACTTCTTTGAGTAATAGTGCAAAATTAAATGATTTTATTCACTGTTGACAAAACATGGTTGGCTTCATAAAAAGAGCACCAAGGTTGAACATGTGGCAATTAGAAGCATTATCAATTCGGTTTCCAGGGATTATAGATAAGGCAAGCCAGAAGATCTGATATGATAATGTAAAGGAAGTGCAGCTACTTGGTCTTCTTAGACAACATTGTTTTGATTTTTCCAGGTGCAATTAATCTTTGCAATATTAAGATTATTTCATTTTCACATTTCCAAATATGAATAAAAGCAACTGAACGATCCGTCTGCCTTATTCTTCATCTGATTCATTTATGAGGGGAGCATGTGCATTCTTTTGCTTCCTTATGCCAAGTCCAATTGTAATTTGTGTGTTGCTCCTTTTATAATTGTGGAAGTAGCTGTGGACAACGATAAGAAATCATTCTAATTAGTTCCAAGATGGTTCTGTTCGGCTGATTACTTATGAGGTCATTTTGGGGGTAGGAAACTGGGAGAAGCTTTCAACTTTCAAAAACCTTTTAGAAAGGACCAGGGTAATTGTCCTTCAAGAATGAGACACTGTTCTCCTCCCCATTGTGTGAGTAAGAAGAGGGGAAAGGGTATATCAGAAAGGGAAGTAACAGGAAGAAAAGAAGTAAGAGAACTCTAGCAGAGAAAGAGAGAGAGAGAGAGAGAGAGAAAGGAAGGCCCACTCATTTCTCATTCAAGTCCACACTGCTATGGGAGTCATCACCCATAGTTTCTCCTGGAAAGAATGTGGCCCTTAATAAATAGGTTCCCCCATTCATATGTTATACTTGACGTTTGAGAAATCCACTTTGAAGGAAGTTCTGGAGTTGCCTAATGGAATTCTTAACAGATTAACAGAGTTGGAAGGGACCTTGTAGGTCATCTAGTCCACACAGACCCTGCCCAAGCAGGAGACCCTATACCAGAGGTCCCCAAAGTTGGCAACTTTAAGACTTGTGGACTTCAACTCCCAAAATAGCTGGCTGGAGAATTCTGGAAGTTGACATCCACAAGTCTTAAAGTTGCCAAGTTTGGGGACCCCTGCTCTACACCATTTCTGACAGATGGCAATCCAGTCTATTCTCTGTGAGCACAGAGAATAGCACCTCCCCAACACATCAAGGGCACAGGCCCCCAATCCTCCTGCCCCCTCCATCTTCCTCAGGAGTCCACCCACCCCTTATTGGATTCTGGAAACATAAGAACTGAGTAGGTACGTTCTGGAAGGAAATATCCTCTTATTGAACTTCTCAGACTCTGAGGAAACCTTGTCTGATTTCAAATGGTTCCCATTGAAGGAGTGGAAAGAGGTTTCCTTATAGGAAAACTGGCTTCATAAATCAAATCCTGCTCAAAAGTACCGGTAGGAATTTTGCAAAAGCATCTCCAAGCACCTGCAGCTTTCTATCTCTAAGGTGGTCAAAAGTATTTTGAACTTTGCCGTGTTACATGCTCACATAAGTAATAGTCCAACAAGCAATGTAGTGAACCAGTGGGTCTCAGCTGGTTGACTCACATTTCACATCACATTCTATATAGCAGGGCTGTCCAACCATGGCAGCTTTAAGACTTGTGAACTTCAACTCCCAGACTTCCCCAGCCAGCCATGGGAATTGATTCTGGGAGTTGAAGTCCCCAGTTCTGGGGATTGGTCCACAAGTCTTAAGGTTGCTAAAGTTGGACACCCTGTTCTACAGAGTATGGCTTTGGCTTAGAACGTTGAATGAACCTGGCTGAAACCCTTGATTTATTCAGTAACCAAGAATTACGAAAACCAGGGTTAGCATAATAAGTGTTTTCATCTGGTTTCTTGGTCTCAACAACTTGTTCCTGGGTCTCTACAAGATGATCTCAATAACTTGATGTATTGAGACACCATGCTGTCTCTGGACAACTACCAGAGGAAGCAACGTTTCTTATATTATTTCACATGTTCTTTTATTCCTTTGGAAATCTCTGCATACCCTTCATTCAAAGACATAATGTTTGTCAGGAACGTATTATTCCAGAATACTTACCAATAGACCAGGGTATAATTCACTGCCGTAATGAGGATTGCAAGGGCAAAATGCCAGCAAAAGCACATGGTGACGAACATTACGTTTCTGTGGTCATTCAGATCCCATTCTGGTCCTCCCCATGGTGGATATAACACAAAACCTATCTGGAATTTTTCAAAAAAAGTGCATTCATGATCTATGCAATTGACAGGCATGTCAAGAGGCAAAGTGTTTGGGTAATGCTTGAATGGCAAACATTCATTTTAGAAGCTGTCCAGCATAAAAATAATTCATTTACACTGTGATGACCCAGGGTGGGATACAAAACAAACACAGTCACAGAAAACAGGTGAAGCCCCTTTCATTCCTTCAATTTGCTTCCATTCTCCAAATATATTTGACGGAAGACAAAAAAAAACCTCCCATGCAAACAGTTACACGAAGAAGGAAAAAAGTAACACAAACCAGGCAAGATAAGGGCTGGAGGATGTCCACAGATAACACACACTGGGAAGGACTCCAAACTCAGAGAGGAACTATAAACTAGAGATATTTACACGCTTTGTTTCCAGCGTTTGCCAGTATGCAGATCCAAACTCTTATTCACTTGTCTCACTTGCAGCCCATGAAGAGGATCAAGGCCCTCTCCTCCCCAGTAGACCACGTCTCTCCCTTATCCTCTCCTCCCTGCGTGCCCTAGGATGGAGAGGGGATGGGCCTGGGTCCTCCTCTGACTGCTCAGCCGGCCTCTGCCCATTCCCCAGCCTCTTCCGCAACCTCCGGAGCCCCCCTTCCACTCCCTGTCAGCTGTTCCTCCTCTCCCTCGGAGTCAGTCTCCACTAGAGGCATGACATACACCTTATTTAACTATATGTTTCTTTTACCTCACACTTCTCCTTTCCAACAATGTCCAAGTTCTTGTGATACTCTAATAACAAGATGTGAGGCCAGTGAGGCAGTGTTTAAATGGAACTATGATTATATTACTCCTTTGGAACTCTGAATTAGCTAATCCTCGATGCTCAATCAGTTCATATTGGCTGTATATGTATATACCTGCATTGTTGCTGGGATTCAATTTTTTTTTACTACCGGTTCTATGGGCATGGCTTGGTGGGCATGGCAGGGGAAGGATACTGTTAGATCTCCAGTCAGAGGTGGGATTTGCCGGTTCTTTGAACTACTCAAAATGTCTGCTACCGGTTCTCCAAAACTGGGCAGAACCTGCTGAATACATCTCTAACCTGTATATAATATGTTAACAATTAAGAGATAGAGAGATAAAAGCAGAGGTGGTAGCAGGTTCTGAACAGTTCTGGAGAAGCAGTAGTGGAAATTTTGAGTAGTTTGGAGAACCTGCAAATCCCATCTCTGACTGGCCCCGCCCCCATCTCTTCTCTGCCTCCTGAGTCCCAGTTGATTGGCTGGGTCTTCTTTGGTTGCCCTGCACAGGAGAATGGAGCTGGAAAGCAGGTTAGTGGGGTGGGGAGGGAATGGGATTTTGCAGTAACCTTCCCAGGTGTGGGAATAGAGATTTTGCAGTATCCTTCCCCTGCCACGTCCACCAAGCCACACCCACAGAACCGGTAAAATTTTTGAATCCCACCACTGGATAAAAGCCACAACCATAATTTATGTCATTGGCACCAATGCATTACAGCTTGTCCATGTTCACCAAGATGCTAACTCTCAACTTTTTGGT